GATTCATTACCTTCGTCACAGCAGCAGCAATGGCGGCACCGCCATGTTCCTACCTCTGTTTTTCAACCAGCAACGTACCAAGGAGGACTTCCATCCCCGCCGCCATCTCCACAACCGCCCCACCCCCAGCGCCCGAATGCCCCTCCACGACGATCTCCTCCTCAACGGGTCAACATCCGCTTCTCTGTTTGAATTTCAGCATTCCTTATTCCGATGGTGAGATCCGATCTCGAATATCTGATGTGTATTCTGTTATGAATCGGTGTTGCAGGTATTACACGACTCGGCTTTGGATCGGGACGCCGCCGCAGAGATTCGCTCTGATAGTTGATACCGGCAGTACTGTCACTTATGTACCGTGTTCCACTTGCGAACAGTGCGGCAAACATCAGGTTTCTTAAATTTTGATGGTTTATTTATTAACTTTTTTCTTCTGTGATTGAACAATGCAATTAGGTTTGTTGTTGATCTATGTTTGACTTTTCTCGTCTTGAATTTTGATTGGATATGTATTGATTTGGGTGAATTGAATAGTGAAAGTGCACATTTAAGGAATAGTTGAGAAGAAGATTTCCCCATTTTCGGTTTGGTTATATGATAATTTCGATCTGTTGGGACAATTGCAAAACGACCGATATGTCCGTCTCTTGCAAGACACTATTTTGAAATCTGTTTTTTTAACTGGGAAAGAATGTCCGAATAGTATGAAAGAGCGACGCATAACGAAACAGGAAAAAACTACAATGAAGTTACCACTAATTTATACTGTTATTGGCTTTTCGGGAAGAGAAAGGAGGAAACCTTTATGTAGTTTTTCTTCACTAAATTGGGAAAGAATTGGATTTTATATGTGAAATTGAATTTTTGGACCTTAAAGTGTTGCTTTACTTTTATTGTTCCTTCCCTTTTGAGTAATCTTTCTGGGTAAGGACTCGCGTCTCTTCATTTGACATCAGCACCATTGGTAGCAACTAATAATAATTTTAGTTCTTCGAATACATGTAAACGGTGTATTATCAAGTCCCTTGTGTTGTGTTTTTCAGTT